GAATTTATTAGCTAACTAATAAATTGCTACAGACATGTAGGGTAAATAACACTGTAAACATATCTTTATTAACCTTAGTAAGATGATAGATTTTATAATCTAAACCTAATGGATCCATGTATTTAATGTTTTACTTATGCAAAATTTTTTCTAAATTGTGAGATTTGGATCTTTTCTCAGTTTCAAGAAATCTTCAAGTTAGATAAATTATTGGACAATTCGTACAGATCAACAGTGTTCGTCCTGATTAAATCTGTTAGCCACACATGGATTTTCTAAGCTTAATCAGATAATAGTTTAAGAACACTATTTCTTCCTACCTGCTACCTCTATTATACATCTTTAACCATCATGAGATAATGAATACTACTAACTTTATAAACATTTCTATATTTTGTGATTTTATTTTAATAATCAAATGCCCATGTGGCTAGTTTGATTACAATACCTGCTGGACTAGGCATGATGGGTGTTCCTGGTGGCCCTCCACCTCCTGGAGGACCCTAAATAATTACACAAAATTTCAGTAAATATAAGGCATTGCATTAAACAACATAAGGAAAAACAGAAGAAAAGTTAGACTTATCTCTATAATAATCTAATTTGAAAATAAGAGAGGAAATAATATTTTCCCCATAATTTATTTTCTTTGAATGCACAATCATTTCAATATTATGCAAAACATAATTTAGCTTAAATATGTTGAGACTGTTTTGACAAGTTTCCAAAAACAATGAGCCTGTAACACTGATTTATTATTCATGACTTAATCATATCAGTTTTAATGAGGTTAAGGAGAAACCATTTAATAGGGTCTTTATAAATCCATAAAATAGAAATAATCCATGTGTATTTTTTGATTTAGTTTACTGTAATTTTCTTACATTTTGTATCACTGGGGCAAAAGATACTTACTTGGAGAATATCTTTGAAAACCAAAAGATATTAGTTTAGAGATTTATATTTTTAAAAAATACATTGATACTATTTCTTTTTTCTGTTAGCATCAATTGCAACACTTTCAGAGCATTATACCTTCTGCTATCACATCAATTAGAAATGAGAAGCAATGTTGAGTAACACTGTGGGTTACCAAGACTGCAGCTACACAATCAAGCTGAAATGGAGATTAAGTAATTCTAAAGTGAATTCAATTATTTCATGCAACCAAAATAGATAATTCAGGCAATAGGTTTTAAAATTTTTCAGATACTCTATGTACAGTGATCAAATTAACTCATAAGTGGCTAAATTTTTACTTCATTCTGAGTGCAGATATAGCCTATCATTTATTTCAAATAGTATCTGTATTTGCTATTTAATAAAAATCTTAAATTCCATTTCAAATAAAAGACTATAATTTCATAAAATCATGTGTTATGCTTATTCCTAAGTGATTTTAATAAAAATAGGTTTTACTCAAATTTTCTTATTTTCATTTTTGTTTGATAGAAAATGTGAAAAAAGTTATATTATACTTCCTTGGTTTGTATACCTTATAGGAACATTGAGCACCAAGTTCACGGGTCCAAAGTAGTGTGTGCTTTTCACTATGTTAACAAAATTCTATCTCCATGGAGAGTAAAATGCTCATTAATTTTCTTCTAATGCACTCCTTTTTTTCTTACTCCAGTTAACCACCACCTCTGAAAATTTTTTAAGGAAAGATTTCCCGTGTTACCATTTCATCCTTTCTTCTCTGTTAGGCATTTTCCCCTAAATATTATAACAAATTTTCCTCTATAGTGGCCTTGAGATGTAGCAAGGATCATAATGTGATCATGGTCAAAAGGTCATTTGTAAGTTCAGGAAGTCATATAAAACCTGCTAATTTGGCTCCTCCCTGTAGTCCTAGCATTCTGGAAGGTCAAAGCGGGAGTATCGCTTGAGCTCAGGGGCTTAGGAGTTTGAGACCAGGCTGAGCAAGAGCGAGACCCCATCTCTATTAAAAATAGAAAAAAAAATTAGCTGGATGTGGTGGTACATCCCTGTAGTCCTAGCTAGTTGGGAGGCTGAGGCAGGAGGTTGCTTGAGCCCAGGAGTTTGAGGTTGCTGTGAGCTAGGCTGATGCCACCGCACTCTAGCCTGGGCAACAGAGCAAGACTCTGTCTCAAAAACAAAAACACAACAAAAACACTTGCTAATTTGACTTCATGTCTATATGAATTATTGGAAAATTTTCAATGCAATAAATAGTAGTAAGAAAAGTAAGTATTCTCAATTTCTAAGAACAACAAAAGCTGCGTGATTTACTTTATGACTGGGAGAAAGTTTGATGTCTTCTTAGACTTTGTGTGTGGCATGTGGTGTTGGGGAGGGGGTGTAGATTATTTTCCTGGAGAACTGCAAATTCAAGCGTATCATTGTGTAACTGGGGATGACTCTCTTCATGATTGGACAGAGAGTATTGTACTGGTTTTCAGAAACATATGCTGAAGTAAAACACAGTACTCAGGGCAATTCTGGCCAGATTGATAACTGTTCCACTAATGAACATCAACATATGTACTGAGGTTGGCAGATGAAACAACTCAAGATGTTCACTTCTTGGCCAATACACAGGGGCTATTCTTAACATCTGGGCAACTATTTCATTGCCCAAATAAAACGTAACATCAATTCTTATGAGCAAACAAACCCAATTGTACTTACTACATAATTCCCAGGAGATGCTGAGGAGTATGGTATCTGCAACATGAACGGGACAAAAACAAATGTTTTGATTCCTGTGGCAGTAAGGAGACTGACCTAAAATTAATTTATTTCCTGACTTTTATCAAGTTTTAAAATGTATCACAAAGGACAGTAAAGGAATTTATATCTGTTTAAGTGCTGGAAAACTGAACTGAAATATTATCTTGGATTTATAAAAAAGAAGGTATATTTTAGTCAAGAGGAATTTAGACAGAATTACCACTTCAAGTTATATTGGTTTCATATCAGTTGTATACATTGCTTGATATTAATGACTTATTCTGTAAGTAGAAGGATATACATTTGTGCAGCTAAAAAGTGGGAAACCAGAATTTTTCAAATTAGAAACCTTTACAGATGCAACTTCTAAGCTGTGTGCATTTTTTTTTTTTTTTTTAAAGACAGGTTTCAAGCTACTACATTTATGCAGTACAGGTCTACACTTGATATATAGACCTGATCTTTCCCCTTTCCCTTTCTAATTAGCTACTAGGAAATAATATAATAAATGCAAAAAGTTAATATGAGTCTCCAAAAACTACTAATTTGTGGGGATCAGATATGAGTAACAAATTCCTTCCTTCTCTTTAAATCAAGCTCTTAAACTAAGCTCTTTTCTAAAGATTAGGAAGTATTAACACCACATCACTGTGATAATTTAAGAAATGAAAAACTAGAAAACCTATATTTAAAAATAAGCCCTGGAGTGGATATTAATAGGGAAAGTTAAATCCAAATAATTTCTTTTTTCACACAAGCTCACTAACTCACTTGCATGAAGACATCATACATCCATAAGAGAGACTTTTGCCTTATTCTGAAAAAAGCCAATAAATTACTGTTTACTTGAAGTCAGACAGCCAGGTCCAGCATAGGACTGTTAAAGCAGTGAAAAGATTATACTGCCTGCACTTGAAACCCTCCCTCCACCCCAATGCATGTCATATAATTAAACATAAAAGTATAATTAAACATAAAAGAATCACAAAAAGTAAGTAGAAGTACAACAAAGTTACGATTTCCCCTGATAAACAATTCTTTGATGCCTTTTGGAAATATTTAATATTATTTGAAAAGCTTTTCTCCTCTTTGTTTGGTATCTTTGCTTTGCCTTAAGCACAGACCACATGTCCCTGAGGCCCCTGCTTGGTCTGCCCACAGGTATTGGGCAACGCAGATGGCCATTACTAGGGTGCAGCATCACTAGTGATGAGGATTACTTCCACTATCAGTCCTGAGATTTTTTTTATGGCAGTAAGTATTTACCTAATTTGGTGAATGAAAACAACTTTGCTCTCTTGGGCCCCTTTCAGTTCATGATCTACCATTCATCCTCTACTTTTCTTTATTTAAACATGTGCGTCTGCCTTTGCGAAATTACCAACTTATTCATTGGCTCCTAGGACAAATTTCATCTCTCTATGCCCTTAGCACCCGGCTCACGTTCTTCTGTCACGCTATATTGCCTAGCATCATTCTTCAGCAACTTCAAGATGCAATCTCACCACCCTTTAGATGGAATTTAGTGCATTGCCTTCCTTTACTTTATTCCTGTTTACTGTCCTTTCCTCAACTTATGAGTATGACCACATCCCAGAATTCTTTACACAGAGATCTGGACAACTCCCTTGCCTGACATCTTTCTTATTTCTCATGATACTTAGAAAAATTACTCTATATTCCAACTAGAATTGAAGGAATCACAACTGCTCCATGTGTATTAGTACATTATTTCTCTATTAGTTTATGACTAAATTGCCTCTGCCACTCCTCCCTGCCACTGTCAGCATTTTTATTTCTCTTTCCAATATCTCAAATTCATTATCCTAAAGCCTGCTTTGTTAATTTTCATTTCTTTGATCACTCCCTAGCCGAACTTTGTTTTACAGCAGAGATTTCCTGGAGGGAAACACAAAACAAGGTTGACAACCTCTAAAATACAATCATGTTCTCCAACTTCCACCTAGTCTTTACTAATATCGGGAAGCATTTCGGCTTACCCTTTATGGAAGCCCTGAAGCTTACTACTGATGTGTCAGTAAGTCCAGAATACTTTGGGGTGGGGGAGGGGAGCTTGGATTTGTAGTGTTAGCCAATTTCTGTGGTGTAAATATTCCCATATGACAGATATTAAGCTACCAACGGTATAACAAGCATTTACAAAATTCCTAAACATTTAACAATTGACCCTTGTGAGCTGGCCCTCATGATGAGTGCACCACCCTGAGTGGATTCTTTCCTCTCCTGCCACACACTAACACCATCAAGTTCTTGCCATGCTTTCATTTTTAGCTCAACACTCCATCGTTTATAGATTTAAAATTTCATCTATGCCAGGTAAAAAAAAAAGAAACAAACTTTCTATTTGTTTCCAAAGCTAGCTCTTCCAACCACTCCATTCTCCTAAGTCCTTGCTCATTTTATATTTTTCATTTCTCCTTCTTTGTGACTTCTTCAAAGATACTTAAATATAATCAACATTTAAAATACTTTCAAAAACGTTATCTCATTTAGTTGTTCAGTTTCTTTTCATTTTTGCTCTGTCAAGCTGTTTAATTTTGGCTTAAACTGTTTCTACTTCGTATTCTTCAATGCGCTCATTAAAAATCAGTATTTGGGCTCCTACCCCTAGAACTTTCCTGAGCTTGCACTTGTATAAGTAACCAGCAAGATCTGACAGCCTAGTGTAAAGGACATAAAATATAACAATGTAGATAGAAGTATTACGTGAGTACAGAAGATGTATTTGAGCTGGGAAGCTGGGACTAGATGCCTACCAGAAAGACAAAGAGGACTGCTATTAAAAAAAAAAAAAAAAGAAAGAAAGAAAGAAAAAAGAAAGAAAAGAAATCTGAAAGTACATAGTTTATTTGGGAAATGGCAAATAATTTTTTTTTTTTTTTGAGACAGAGTCTCACTGTGTTGCCCGGGCTAGAGTGCCGTGGCGTCAGCCTAGCTCACAGCAACCTCAAACTCCTGGGCTCAAGCAATCCTCCTGCCTCAGCCTCCCGAGTAGCTGGGACTACAGGCATGCGCCACCATGCCCGGCTAATTTTTTCTATATATTTTTAGTTGTCCAATTAATTTCTTTCTAATTTTAGTAGAGACGGGGTCTCGCTCTTGCTCAGGCTGGTCTCGAACTCCTGAGCTCAAACAATCCACCCGCCTCGGCCTCCCAGAGAGCTAGGATTACAGGCGTGAGCCACCGTGCCCGGCTGGGAAATGGCAAATAATTTTATACAGCTGCTGCAGTGAGGGACTTGGAGGGGACTGTGGTGAATGATGAGGCTGCACGGTCAGACTATGAATGGATTTATGCTGTAGGAAATAAGAGGTCACAGGCTTCAGAGAGACATGTTTGAATTCATATTTTAGATTTTCTAAGTCTAGAAGCATCATGGAGTATGAATACAGTTAGAAGACTATGCAAAACGTCCAGGCAAGAAATGATAAAGAGAGTTGCAGGCAGTGCTGATTAAGTAGGAGTAGGAGAATTTGAGAGTCGTTTCACAAATTACTTGGCAGGGCCTGGTGACAAACTCGGCGTGGCAGACAAAGGAAGGAAGAAATTGAGGTAATTCCTTGGTGTTTTTACCTTGGTGACTGGGTAGATGATGGTGTTACTCATTTATAAACAGGGAATTCAGGAAGCGAGGCATGTTTGGGAAAACGTCTGATATGTTGAATTTGAAGGCATTAGTAGATATTGAGGTAGAGCTGATGAATAAACATTTAGAAATATAGGTCTAGAACTTATTAGAGATTGAGATTAAGGATACAGCTTCAACTGAATAAATTTCCATTTTGTGCTAAATATAATTCTTGATCTAAAATTTGACTGGATTCTGTGATTGTTGAAACCATATGAAAACATTATAATGAACGAAAAGAAACAGCCTAGCAATGTAATTAGAAAACATTACCAATTGAGAAAGGGTGGATAACGTGACCGGATGAAAGTCAGGAGAAAATACCTTGTAAAAAAGTCAAACAAGCTAGACTTTTAAGAAGCAGGGAGTGGATGCAGCTTGGCTAGGAAATCTCTAAGCCAGGCTTATTTTTGAACCCTGTCAGGATCAAGGCTTTTAACCTTTCTGCGGCATACCTAAAAATATATTATAAAAAGGAATACTTTAATAAAAATATGAAAAACTAAAGAAATATTATTAAGATGAAAAAAAGAAAAGAAATTAACAGGTATTCAAAACAAAACCAAGGAGTCAAAATCTCAGACATCAGATGAGGACAGAAAATAAATTATTGTGTTTGTTTGGTGAGTAGCAGGTCACTAGCAACCTTCAGAAGAGGACTTTCATGGAAATTGAAATGGGTTGAGAGGACAATTCAACAAACCTTCATTCATTGCCTGCTATGTTTCAGGAACTATACTATCACATAGTGTTGAAAAAGACAGGAAGGAATTCATTATCTAGCAGAATGGTGGTGAGAGAGTGAGCGGGACAACAGGATGGTGGTTTGAAACCAAGGAAGGGTGGAGAGAAGTTTTCTATCAGCTACCTCCTCCCAACTCTAGAGGAGTGGAGAAGTAGGGGTTAAGGTTGTCTTGGGATTTTGTTCATTTGCATAACACCAGGGGAAAGTACCAGTCAATGGAAAGGGATAGGCAGAAGATTTATTTGGTAGAGTGAATGAGCAAGATATGTAAAGAAGCAACCAGGCCGGGCATGGTGGCTCATGCCTGTAATCCTAGCACTCTGGGAGGCAGAGGCGGGAGGATCCTTTGAGTTCAGGAGTTCGAGATCGGCCTGAGCAAGAGCAAGACCCCATCTCTATTTTATTTTAAAAAAAAAGGAGCAACCAGAGGTGGATTAAAGAGAACAGATAGAAGAGTTAGCATTGAAAAGAAAATAAAATTTCTATTTCTGAGGCAAGAAGAAAGAAAGATGACTAAAGGTCTAAACCTTCTAAACTTACTTTTTTTTCTATGTTCTTAGCTCAATTGTATTATTCCCATTCTCCCAGATACCCTGAGTCAAAGGCTTGAAATCACCTTCAACTTTTTCCTTCTTTTTACTCCTAAATCTTCCCTCTTATCCTACCCCATGCTTCACACAAAATATCCATTAAGATGAAGTGAAAGGTAAAAATGAAGATGTAGAAGATAAAATCAGAGAGCTACAAGGTCAGAATTCTAGAATTAGAAGAACCTATTATTTGACAGATAAGAAAATTAAGAGCCATATATATTGTCTGGCTAAGCTAGACAGATAAATCAAGAGCTTTGACAAGAATCCAAATATTCTAAAATATTCTGAGCCCTAATACCCGTAATTGTAGTGCTGTGGTATGGGACAGAGAAGTAAATAGAGGCCTTTCATTTTTATTTTTTAAATGATCAGTAACATTTTTTTTAGCAAAGTACCTTTCTTCAAGTGTGAAGTTTAAAACTACCTTACAAGCACTGGTTTACTAGAAACCAGGAGGAATAATATCAACCTATTATTTGTGCCAGTGTAAAGTTGAAAATATTCTTTTATTTTTTAGTTCTCTTTTCAAAAAATGAGCATCTATTGTATAGAGCAGAGGCTATTTGGGATAATATATCTGTATTTCCCTTAGGCTTAATCGCATAATAGATTCTTATTTTTTTCCTTAAAGGAGTTTCTTTCCTCTTTCTTTTTCCTGTCAAGCTAGTGAGCTGATGAATACAATGCTATATTGAACACTTTTTGGTTTTGCCTATTCCCTCTTCTAATAACAATTCCTTTAATTTTCTTTGGTGAGCCATTCCTACCTTATTTTTACTCCATGTGTCTTGGGGTGGGGCTCAGCAAGTAGGTATGTGAGCTAGGCCTGGTGGATAAAGTATCGTACCCTCTGGCCAGAACTGTTTCATGAATGAGCATATGACCAGCAAACCCAGTTCAGTTAGTTATTTCTAGTACCTTTTTTAAATGATAAAGAATTGTATTCTTTTGTGCTCAACTGGGAGCTGTGAGGTAATATGTCTGGTCACATAGTCTTCTTGATATGATGAGAACAAAGATGAGCGACAAATAAAGACTGGGTCTTGATGACATTTGAACTCTTGGAACCAAATGTGCTCAAGGCCAAATATATACCTGGACTTTTCAGATACATGGTCCAGTAATATTCTCTTTCAACATGAGTCTAGTTTGGTTCATTTTCTTGTACCTTGTAATCAAAAGTGTTTATTTTCAATAAAAATGCTTGATACTTAAATGATCAGAACTTGCTGTATCGTCAAACCAAAATGAATAATTCTTCATGTAAAAGATAAAAAAAGAAACTAGAATTGGTGGATTTGTAAATAAACTTCTAAATAAGAACCTGAGACCAATACTGTAATGTTCAGAGTGAAGGAAATTAAAAATAAAAATCACATTTTATTTCATACTAGCCAATGAAGGTACCTTCGTGCATATTAACAAAAGGCAACCCTCCTGGGTAGATGCCCGTAGCCTTATAAGTGGAACAAAAGCTGTATTTCAGCTCTCTACTGATTCCTTTGACTCAAGAACCTTTGTACAGTACACACACTACACAAACCTACACAACAGACCTCCTTCACATATTGAAGAACTCAAGTTTCAAAGTCTAGAAGGATAAACATCTCCAGGATCACAAAATTGAAATTATATTAATTTTAAAATTGATAGCTTAATTTTCAACCTATGTATACATTTATGTTACATTATTAAGAAAGAAAAGTATTTGTGCGAACCACTGCCACAAATATATAAGGAGAATTCCCAAGATATCAGGTACATAGAGAGATGTGCATGAATGGCAATTTAGCTAACAGGCACAAGGCAAAGGTGCACTTGCTTTCTGGGGCATCAAGAGAGCAAACCTCAATGTAATTAATACAGCAAATATTTTCATAATAATTTGGTCTCCACTAATAGAGATTGATTATATTTGGCAACTTAGTGATTATTATAGTTATTTTAGAAGACCAAACCATTTTATGATATAGACCACCATATGTAGGCTATTGTAGTATATACTTAAATCATACTACTTCTATTTTTTGAAAGTTTGTTAATGGACATAGAATGTATGTTTGAAGTGAAAAAATTACACAGTTTCAAAAATTATGCACATTTTTCTAAACATATATACAAAGCTTTTTTCCTAATGATTACTTCAAAAAAGTTAATACAACTCATTGCAAGGCTTTCAAAGCAAAATATTTTTGTCGTTTTTGTTAAATGGTGGAAAGTGCAAAAAAATTTTAAAAATATACATATACTCACTGAATTGGCATTTGTTGGGTTTGGCCAAGGTCTACCACCACCCGGACCCCTACAAAAAAATATGATAAATGAAATTTTAATCTATGCTTTGAATATTTCACAATAAGTAACAAAAAATCATAAAATATTAACATTTACCATTCAGATACCATCAGTTTGAGTTCAGCACTCAAATTATTCTCTTTTAATAGCTTTTTTATTTCTTAAATCCAAAAATTTTATCATTCCATGAAATACTAATAGTTTTCTTCTCAAGTCAAATGACTGTTAGTAAGCCCAGTTTTATTTTAATATTAAATTGTAGTAGACAAAAATGATAATCACCTATAGCAGTAAACATATACATATATCTAAATCATTATAAAAACACTTTTGGAATAAAAAGCACTAGTTAAGAAATAAATATGAACTATAATCTTGTGACATCAATATAAGAACTACTTCTTTCTCGTTTAAAAGGTAATTATTTGTAAAATATCCATATATATGAAATGATTGCTCTTATTAAGCTAAAAATAAATACACATAAAAGGTGTCTAAAGTTGTCTCCTTTTCAAAAAAATCATAGTTTATCACACATTACTTTATATATCTATATATTAATCTATCTTTAAGTGCTACTGATGATTTAATTACTATTAAATAAGGGAATCATATTTCTTCTTATTCAAGGCAGTGCTCAGAGTAAATCCTAGAAAAAATAGTAGGTAATCTATGCCAATCTATGCCAATATATTACTTCATTTTAGGGTGGAGAAGAATATTTTGTATACCATAGCTTTTAAGGACATAAAGATTTTTGTTTTAACAAAATTAATGCCCAATTAATTAAATAAAAAAGGTCTCTTGTCCTCATATTTTAGTACTAAATACTATACCTGAATTAATACTATCTTATGAAAAGTAGACTACTGTCAGTCGGTCCTTTGTAATTAGGGTCATTCAAAATTTCTCTTCCCTCTAATCACTAGGATAGTGAAAATTTTTAATTAAAAAAAACATGTCCCTAGATTCTGGGGACTTTAAATCTAAAGTTCTAAATGTTAGATAAAGAGGCTGACCAACTTAGTCATTATCTTACCCATATTTGTGTGGAATATTTAAAACTGCATTTTAGTTTTGTTGGGATTCCCTAGGGACGTAAGCAGCAGGGAAGGCTGTCCCTGTGCTCTATCAA